AAAAAAAAAAAAAAAAAAAAAAAAAAACTACTACTTGATACTGAATATGATTAAATGGATTTACTCCCGCTAAGCAACGTTATTAGCATTATCAGTTTCTTTAATATAGGCGAATTATTCAGATAATTCAGAATGGTGGTGGGAAATACTCCATCGTAACCGAATTTGGTGGAGTTTTTGTTATTTCTCATGTAGAGACAAATAAAAAGTTTCTCTTCCCTCCATTACGCGAATTCGTTTTTTTTCTTGGTAAGCACCGTAACCATCTTTTCCCATTATGAGCCTCCGCAGGTCATCTCGTAATTCCCCCGTTTTTATTTTTTACAACTAACGCGATTTTTTTACAACTAATGCCTAAAGCACGACATATTTCAAGTTAAACTCACATATAGCTCAAAGATCCGATTGCTTCATTCTGACATTAAAGCAGTTCTCTCCTTTTCCTTTAACTGCTGCCACGCTTGAAGTGTATCCGATACACTCGACTTGCCCCACCCTACACTCTTATAACGAGGGCATTAAATTTCAACTCTTATAATTAATCTGAAATATTTCTGTTTCTGCTTCCATGCGATATGGTAAACATCAGTATTTATAATGAATTAAAATTTAATGTATTTGTCTAATGCAATTATTTGCCAACTGTAACTAATATTAATAACACTGATATTCCATTTTTGTCACATTTCAACGCCATGGCAAATGCAGCACTTCGTTTACCTCTTTCGCTCTCTCTCCCTTTTGCTGTTTGTTTAAGAGGCACGCTCGCTCTGGGATATTTTGGGTAAGTTTTCTTGCTGTTATTCAATTACCGGTTGCAAGTGTCCTATTTAATTGCTGAATAACCGATGTCTTAACCATGTCGCAGCTCTGGCGGGATCTCTAATCTACTGAAGCGGGAATGTTTTTGGCATACTTATGTGCAGGCTGGCCGTGGCCGTTGAACCAGTTGATAAAAAGACAGAAAACAACGTTCGGGATAACTCAAAACTCCTTCTCATGGGGTTGATTGACATTATCTCTGTCCCTTATTAGGCTAAGTAGTCAGAATCTGTATATGTTTTATTAATATTTCAGTGAATGTCTGCCATGGGAGAGGGCATTTTATAAATATATAAATATATAAGCATGATATGTTCTTCTTAATGAGCCAAGAAAAATATAAATGTAATAAATTAATATTTTTCTTGGTTCATTAAGGAGAAGATATAATGCTTGAAGCGATTAACCTCTTTTTCTTTCAATAAACCTTGTTAAAAGATATTTGCTGTGCGCATTATAACCTCATCTGCAAATCGATCACTGGTACAGTATATAACGTTTTCGCTATTTTGTTTTTGTTGCCAGTAGTTGCCTTGGGGAAAATACGCAATTTATGATTTTCATTGCTTTGACCTTAACTAAATTTACCTATGAACAAAATTTATGCTGTGAATGCTACATCAATAACAAGTTTACACCACAAACAAGTGCGTACCCGCCCTAACATATACCAGATCTTATATTTAGGGTGTCGTGCAGATTTAATTGGGATAGTTTTTTTTTTCGTTTATATCGGGCGACCTACAAGGAGAAGTTCCTGTAAGCATAGCCCTCGGAGTCACATTACTCTGTTTGTTGCTCAAATGTCAAGCAATGCTCAAAAATTCTATGATCGATACATGTGTATATAATTAGATCTTGCATGCTGTCAAAAAGGTGTTTTATAGCAATGCGCAAAGCACAGTATCATATTGAATAAGTCAGCTATGGAAAGGGTGTATCATCCTTTTTCATGATGTATATAATGTAGTCCTTAAAAAAAGCCTGCAAGCTGTACCTTATCCCTGCATTTACATATTGGAATATACTGAAAATGATTCATTTAAAACGTTTCGTGGTTGTGGAGAGACTGCATCTTGCATATTCAGAACTGTATTTTAGAAGACACTGACATCATTTTAAATTCCTACCTGGACGTTTTGTTTGCACCTATCACGCTGCTTATTTGCGCCTTAACACTCAATCGTTAAGACGTTGCATTTCCACAAGGGCCCTGTTTTCTTTCAAGAAAAGAAGAAAATTGCGTAAAAGACAATTAGATGTTGCGTTCACCAAACAGTTGTATTCCAGTTCTCACAGTTCGTAGAGAACAGTGCACAAAGGCTTTGATATGAAAGTTGAATGACAACGTTATTGAACCTGTAATCTTCTGTCGCATTCCAGGATTTAAAAATAGCCGTAAATGTGTTAGTTATGATTAGTGGATGTGCTTGTCAAAAACCTCCACGCTGAGCATTTTATTACCTTTTTTTACATTTTTGATGGCTTTAAATATATTTTTCTTTAAAGTGACACGTTGAAATAATGAGGTTAGAGACCGATTAGAAGGTTAAGCACCTATGGTGGGGATATTCAATGGTATATGTGGTGTATATGTGCGTACACGTATAAGTTAATATCATATTAAGTTTATTTCTAGAATCTTCACAATCACAGTTTGCACTGAGAATTTTTTGAGCTCAAATATGTCACAAAACATGGCAGCAATGGTAAATCTGTAATTTGTATTAAAGATGAAAAAGTTTTTATTTCAATCGGTCAACTTGCACCCATGAATAATGTCATTTATTTATTCACTAAGTGATCACTGACCTATTCTCAAGACAGAGTTTCCTTTAAGAAAGGTGGATGATTGAAATAAATTTGATGTAAACAAATTTGTTTGAACAAGCAGTGTTCTTTATGGATGCAGTTCTTAAAAAGAAATACTTCTTCCATTTACAATGATGTGAAACAAGTACACTTTAATAGAAGATTTTTGTCTTCTCCAAGGGACGGGATTAGTCCCCCCACTGCCACTGATCAGAACTTGTTCTGATTCCGAGATGCCACACAGACACACACACACACTAACAGTCAATATGGTTCACTCGTTTTGCTTTTCTGCAATTTTGGCCAGCTTTCTGGCTTTCTTTTCTTCATGTTCTGCTGCAACTTCTGCTTTCAGTTGCTCCAATTCCGTGTCTGGGATATAGAAGTAGGCGTCATCAGCAGGATCAGGCTGAAATGTCAAATGTGAAAGAATACAATCAATTTCATCTCATTAAACAGCCTGAGGTTTACTTTAATAAAATTATTTTAACAAGTTAAATACCAATATGCAATTCCAACTAGTTTTTTATTTTTATTTTTCAATACAAAGACCGAAAATTTTTAATTACTTTTTCCAAACATTTAGATCCAATACCCCAAAAAATATTCATAATCAAATAAACAAATAAGGCCTATCAAACTATAACCACTTATAACTAACCTCTCTGACAGTGAATTCTACACCTTCTGGGATGTGCCGTGCCAGAACTTGACAAATGAATGGTACTTCATATGCTGGGACATTTTGAAGCTGCAAGCAATTAAGTCAACTTTGTGCATATTTTTATAATTAATGCTTTACATTGACTGATATTGCTTTTAACAGATCTAAAAAGTGGTGTTTAAACTCTAGATCAATAAAGCTATAAAAACTCGTCATTTTAGAGAGAAAAGTGCCATAAAATAGATTTTCCTGGGATAAACAACGGTTTCTCATACTTTTCCAAGGTTAATAAGTCCGTTGTGACATTCAAAGTTAATTTTTAAGTGTTTTTTAATAATAATAAATAAATTAATTAATAAATAATCTCTTAAGAGATTTTTATGGAGGTAGCCATCTATGAAGGTCCACATGGCCCAAGTTTAACCTTGAACATGCACTTTTTAAAACAGTAGGAATATGTACAAACCAATGTCAATTGAATGGGCTGAGGAAAGGGGCTCAGTTTAGGTGAATCTTTCATATAATAACTGAGGTATCGAGTCAAGTTCTCTAAACCACTAAAAACAGCTGGAATGCTAAGATGTAACCCTAAATGTGATAATAACCATTTTTATTCAACAGTAAAAAAAAACTGTTATATTCAAAATATTTTATGACCATAAAAGTTCATTTTTTTAAATTAAATATCGCAGACATCAGCAGGCCAATATAGAGAAGTACTATGGCCAGTTACCCTAGGGTCATGGTATTTGATCAATGAGCTTTGTGAAGTACACAGTGTGACTATAAATGGCCAAAGAAAAAAAAATTCCTGCAACCTGCAGTATGAAAGATAGTCACCTTTGTACTGGTCAAACAGAATGGATGAATGACTTCTGCAAATCATACAGTGAAAAAAATTGGTTTCTTATATAAACGTACCTGCATAGTCCTATTATACTTGTTTAAAATTATACTTGGATCTTGTTTTGAGTCCTCATCTTTTAGTGTGGTTGTCTTCAGTTTGCGTAAAGGTACAGGTATTCTAAAGGAATCAGAATCAATTTTAAAAAATGTTCTTCAATGACTTTAATTTTTATTCATCTTTTTCCCAGAATGCTCTGATAATAATAAAAAATAAATAACATAAATAAATATTTCTTCCCTTATGTTAATCTTCATTTTTTTCAGAACAATAGGAACAAAAGAGAAAAAAGGAAACTACTTACAATTCTGCTTCGTGTCCAAATTCGGTACATTTCTTAAGAGCATAGGCAGCAAAGCTTTCCAGCACCACCCAGTCAAAACCCTCCATAACGATGTTTAGTTCACCATAATGCGGTATTAAGTTTTCAATTTCTTGATCCTGGAATTTAAAAAAAAATTATATATACGTATATATGAGATTGTAAGACAGACTAGCTGTAATTTTCATGCCAAATCAAATTTTCCTTGAAATCATTTTTTTCTACTCATGAATCAATGCTTGACCTGTCACTGCACTTAAATTGCATGTTTTATACATTTTTGATTTAAGATTTTAATGAATAATTTTTTTCTCTGAATAATATTTTGTTTTTTTTTATGTTTTCAGTAATGTTTAGACAATCATGCTTTCATGTACATTAAGGAGGAAATATCAATGTCCAATTCTTTCACTTGGGCGTGTTTTTCTTTTGAAATTCTGAATTGGGAAAGATATGTATCTTTGCAGTATACACATGCATAAAATTTGTGACTTTGGGACAGTTTTAAATAAATTGGAACATAAATATACCTAAATTACTAAATGCTTCTTTTTATATTGTTACTGCCAGTTCAAAGATATCTGTTTGTACCGACCAGATAAGGTGGCTCTACTTCCACAAGTTTTTGTGTCTCTTTATTTGACCCATGAATGAATCTGCAGCTTGTGTAAACTTTTGGAACTAATGGCTGTACACATTTTGCACCTCTGAAAGTATAAAAGCAATAAGAAAGGAAGTATACAGAAGTATATAGAAACATTAAGAAAACAAACCTAAAAGATTGTCTAAAATTCAAGGCAAAATAGCTGGGATGTAAAAAGCTTATCATCATTTAGCATATCAAACTTATTGTACTGTTAGTAAACATACTCTTGACCTTTAACTTGAGCAGTGCCAGGGGTCTGGCTAAATTGCGCAATACAGCGCAACACAGAGCAATACACTTGAAAAAACGAGTCCAGTCACAAGTAAACTGCCAGTAATATTACAAAATTAAGAGTAATTAAAAGATTGGTAAATTTAAATGCCGACTTACCTCAAAGCAAACACTGCTCTTAGTCCCCTTGGGGAGTACTTAAGCACTGGACAAGTCAACTGCCATAGTGACTACAAATTAGAATTTAATTAAATAAATAAAATTAGAATTGATTTAAAATTTGGAAATAAATATATACAGTACAATGGCCCAAGGATTCCTTTAAGTATAAAACACCGACTGTGACAGCTATGGACAACTGAAATTCTATAAATGATCGAATAAATACCAGTGACTACTTGACTCACTTAAAGGTAAAGACAAAATCAAAATGAACCACAGCTACTTATTTAGCGTAAAATACGAGCAAAATACCTGTAACTTCGCTGCAGTCAACATGCTTGCTATGTAATGTAGAGCTCTGTTTGAGGTAAAGTTTAGTTCGCCAAAAACAATTAAGTTAGACTTTGGTATAAAAAGTATAAAAAAAGCAAAATAAATTATTTTAAATGGTTCGTTTATAAATATTTAGATGCAAATAACATAATTTAAGCTTTTTTGTATAATCGACAATATGATGTTGTTTTCCAAACTAAATGTAATGAAAATGCTAACACAACCTGTCGGTGTGCTCGCCGCCGAATGAAGCATAATCGTCTTTTTTCCCTGAATGTGAAAATATTTTTATCAGATCAATAAGGAGAAGCATGCAGACTGCACTCAGTGATTGCCTATGATTCCCCGAGCATATTTTTTATTTATAACATGGGTAAAAAATTATGATTGTGCGCTCTCCAATTTTTGGAGTCTTGATTTAAAAGAGGAAGTGAGTGTGCGTGAAAAGATGCGCAGAAATGAATGTGAAAGAACGAAAACTGGAGAACTGGGAGGATTTCACTAGCACTATTGACATCGCTTGAATTCACGTTGAAAGCTTTTAAAGTAGCAATGTGGGAATGAAAAGGTGCGTTTAAGGAGTAATGTGTGACTCAGTGAACCGTTTCTGACATTTTAATCGATAACGACGATCGTAGATTTGTTTTTTTTTAATGTTACGGAGTGTGACACTTAAGGCTAATCATATGTTGTAGTTACCATTAACTTTATTTTTATTTGCATCAGCATTATTTTATCGAACATATTTGATTGTAGTGTTTGCAGTCAAGTATTCATTCTGATTTGTGTATCTATGCGTCTGTACTGTCTTTGATGTTTTTGATTGTAAAAAATGACACTAAGCTTTTTGTGATTTTTAATTACAGATGCAACCCCTTCTTTTAAGAAAAATAAGCAAACGCGCCTTTCGCAAATCTGTACTACGTACAGGGACTTTTCCTTTGAGGTTGTGTCTCTGACCTTGTCATGACTTGTCTTACCTCCCCTTTCATCATTTGGTCATTTTGCTCTTAGCCGAGCATACTTTCTTCTACGTACCTGTATTACTAGTATATGAATGTTAAATGACATACTAGTACTTCACTTTTCAGTGCATTCCTTTAAAAATGCCACCTGTCCCAGAGAACAAAGAAAATAAGCATCCAGACAGCCTGGGAGCAGTTGAAACTCCACAGTTTATTGTAATGCAGAGTAGCTCGGACAGCGAAGATGAGCAGGAAGGTGGGTGACCGAAAATTTCATCCAGCCCAGAACTTTAACACATCGTCTTTTTCCATGAATTATGCTTTCTCTTTGCATTTGGTAGGATAAAAACAAAACATCATGGCAAATTTATACCCCCTTTGTTTATCATCAATGATAATGTGAAACATTTAAGCTGTTTTTTTTTAAATTTCTTTTTTTTTATCATTTACCCATTTGTGGAAGATGAGTAATATCTACAAAAAAGCGTATGTTTCTTCTTTACTGGACTTTTTTTTCCTTTTTAAATTCACTTTTGGTATACAGATGCCTCATGTCTTTTATTTCAGAGTTTGGTGGGTACCAGCTGCTTTCTCAAGATCCAGATGGCCCATTGAACAGTCCTAACCTCCAAACTGGTTCTGATGAGGATGCAGAGGATGAAAGCCAAGATGGCGTAGGTGGCACCAGTGACGCCATAGATGCTGTTATCATGGAGCAGGTGGAGTCCGATGATTTCACACAGTTAGCAGCTCAGTCTCATCCATACCAGGTTAGAAAATTTATGATGGCAAGTCTCCTGTTATGAGGTTTAGGTTATTTCTTTAAGCAAGATATGCAGACTTGAATTCTCTTTTTTCTCTGTTATTTTATGCAGACTTGAAAAGCACTGAAAGAAGAATGGACATTTTTGTCTGCGCGTGAACTTGTACAGTAATATATGGAATGGCTGAAAACTAGTTTGTAAATTAGTCACCCTTCGCTTTAGCATTTCTTTTAACTAGACATACTTTTCTGTGTAAAAAAATAACAAACTTTATAAATTATTGCAGAGTGACTCGGATACAGGTTGGGCAAATTTTAATGATGAAGAAAATGTTTGGAGTCAACCTCGAGAAACTCAGTTCACTATGGACAAAGGTACTTGTGGATATTGTTTATGCACATATTTTATTTCATGAGATTTTTAACAGCTGGTTTTGTAAAATTATTTTAATTCTATAGGATGAGATTGTTTACATTTGGTTTCTAATTTTTAGAAGAATTGACAAGGTAACACTTCACATTATTCAGACATCAGCCTAGGTTTTAGAAAAAAAACCTCTGAAAATTCATTTTGGGACCAAACACCTAACCAGTTGGGGGTTCAGGAGCACTTTAGGAACCATCAAAACTGAACTTGAAAATATGCAATTCTGTTATTCTGCAAAGCAAGTTCATGTCTAATTATTCTTTTTTTTTCGTGTTTCAGAGCATGTTGACCAGATCAAGAATGCCATGTCTACCTTTTCTCTCCCAAGCACTAGCCAGCCTGACTGGGCAAAAAAGATTCCAGAAGAAGAATGGAAGGCCAAACTGGTGGCCAAATTACAAAACAAAACTTTTGACACACAGAAAATTTCACGTAAAGATGACTCTGCCAGCTGACACACACACACACAAACAAAAAGGATCACCGATTTTTAACATGTATTCTGGAGACTTATTCAACTAAGACATGTTGCATGTTGTCCAGATGCATTTCTCAGCTGTATACTAGTAATTCTTTGCAGATATTTACGTGATATGGACGTAGTTCTGTAATTGCAATTCTAGGTCAGAAACAAGACAAAATCAGGCATACCATTCCCATGTAAATGTGTTTCAAATTTCAGTATAAAAAGGCATATTACTTTTGCTCTGGTTAACCAAATGTAAAATTTGCTATGGACCTGCATTCAACATGCAGCCTTGGAAAATTTGTTGAATAAATGAACTGACCATTTTTGTGGCCATTTGGTGGATGATATCACTACAACTGGTGTTACAAGAACCAACATTGCATAGGCAATCTGCAATTATACATTAAAAATTTAAAATGATTATATTTCAAGGAAAATAATATTAACAAATTTATAATCTTTTATTCTCCAACTAGAATCTCATAAATTTGGGCAAGTATGATTGATTATGATTGATGGGTCACCATTTTATGCTGAAAAAAATTTTAAACTTAAAACGCATACACCATTTTCATTAATAGCTTTTATTCTCTGTACAGACAATAAATTGACATGGTCTCTATTTTTACAACAAAAATTTACAAGAGAATACTATGATTGGCTGTACACTGTTCATGCCACCTCTGATGATCAGGCCCCCACATGGGTGTGTAAATATACAACTCTTAAATAAATGTATAATGTAAGAATCTTGAAAAAGATTAAGGCAAACAGACTAAATTGTTTTCATCACTTCTAATTTTCCTACACTTGTTGGTAGAGTAATCAATTGGATACTACATCCATTTTTTTCTTATGTTTTCATTGTGGCAACTGGCCCTCTTGACAGTACCATTTCACTTTGATTTTACTGTCAAGTAAGATGTCTGGACCCTGAGATACAACAGCAACAGTAATACTACTTGATGGGGATGATAATAGTGAAAATTATTATAATAACCTCTTAAATCCATGCTTGTACTCCCTCTAGGAACAAAGGCTATGCAGACCAATTTGTATCAGTTTCTGCTGTACTCTTTCCACTGATACCAGCTTTTTGTTACCATCTCACCAACCATACTTAATATTATGAGAAGACAACCTGAACTAAGCAGGTTTTAATATATATATATATATATATATTAACATCACTTCCCTGGTGGAAAGCTAAGATGATACATGGTTGAATAGCTGTAAACCATGTGTAACAACAAACAGTGAAGTTTGGTCATTATAGCATGATGAATTGCTTGAAGTATTTGTAATACAGCACACTAAATGATTGCAAACCTACAGCTTTTGCCTTCAGTTCCTAGAATAAACTGCAGAGAACTGGAATGCCCTCCCTCCCTCCCCATAAAATGCCTCAACTATAAGTATTGACAATAGCCTCACTGAGACATATATTTATTCTACAACAAAAATAGTCCTCTATAAATTCCTCTTTATTTTCTCATGCATGCTACAAGTCACATCCATTGTTGTACACTAAAAATGACATTTGCAGAAATATTACATAACACTGCCAACTCGGTAATTATCAATTTTTGGCTACGTATGCAAATAAAACATACAGAGGGCATTCTCGTTGACAAAGCTGCTCTCTCTGATGCAGACAATAATAAAAATATTCATTTCTCTATTTTTTTTATGCACCAATAACTTAATCGTTAAAATATAAACAGTTTAGTAATCATCGATAATTACAGGTGCACATTGTGTCTGGGTGCAGATATCATTTACCTCCTATAAAAAGCTTAGAGCCACTGACCTTATTCTGCCAATATGATTACGTCTTTATATGTCTTATTCATCTCGACTCTATCAGCACTGCAGAGAATAACAAGGCGGAATGTGTATTACTTAGAGCTCACTATCACTGTAAATGGCCACTGTCTAGCAAGCAGAGCCCTGCTGCATTGTGATCCCGGAGAGAGGGTCAAACCATAGCTAGGTGAAAAACTATGTGTGACCCCATTAACCATGTGATATGTTTCCACTAGCTGTTAGCAGCATTAGCATTTGCATTTGTCTCCTTATTAGTTGATAAGTAATCATCGGCTCTCTTGTGGCCTTCAATTGCCTTGATTGTGTACGCATCATGAGGGAGTTCGGACTTGCGCCTCAGAAGTGGCTTTTCCTTGTTTTTCTTCTTCTGTGCCTAATCAAAGCATAATTGTCATATATGATTTTACATAGTTTAGTTTTCCAAAAAGTATCTCATTCCTCGGTGTTTCAAAATCATCATCATAAAAAACTCAAATTTAGCAGTCACAATCTGATGATGTATCTTGGTATAAAAAATGTTTATTGTCCATACAGCTTTCTCATTCATCTATTAGTAACAAAATGATAAAACCACTCAATATGACACTCATAACGAAATATATTCAGGTACAAAAACAAAACTAAAAAGAACAAAAAATGCTGTCAACACCTTTTAGTCATTAAAATATCTTAAGTATGTAGCATATAGTTGTTGCACACTTACCTCTCTGGCTTCAGTCTCCAGCTTGTCTAAAGACATGTCCAACTCAGTGGGGTCCCCTTCATCATTCATCAAGGCATCAACTGGCCGGTTACTGTTGTCTGCTTTTATTGCCACCTTTTTGTACTGGAAAGAAATTTAGACATGAAGAAAATAATCTCTCTGATACATTCCAACACTATGGTTGGCTTTACTGAAGAAAATCAATGATTACTTGATGCCAAACCCTTTAGCCATGCTATGAATCTTTTCAATAAGAAAGCAAAAATTAACCTTAGGAAACTTGTATACTTAATATCTGATTAAAATGTGCAGTAACTTTCAACTTTTTAATCACTTACTTGGGGATTTACTTGTGCCAGGCCCTGCAGTTTCACCCAGGCATCTTCCCTCTCTTTTAATTTTTCCTTTTCTCTGCAATGGAAAAACCCTTGCTATTTTTATCGGCTGTTTTGCAGTTTAAATTGTGTGCTAGTAAAATTTTCACAAATGTAAAAATAAAGGCAAATTTATTAGTTAAGACATGAATTTGGCAACTTGTTTGCAAAGCTGCAACAGGACTTCTCTACTTAACAGCAGTCTTAAACAAGCACAGCATTAAATTTGAAATTTATTCCATTTATATAAAAATTTACACACTTCTGTCTTTCTGCCTTGTACTGCTGAGTACAGTCATCAAACAGCTTCTGGTTCATCTCCATGAACAGTTTCAGTGCATTGTATATCAAACCATGAATTGTCCTGAAATGACAGGCAAAAATACAGATTATTACCAGGTCAGGTATCAATTTATATACATCTAATACACCTTTCTCAAGCAATTATGTAAAAGCAACTCTGAAGACGATAACAAGAAGATTTTTTTCCAGAATAAATAGTTCAATTCAAACTGAGTTAACTAAATGTGATATTGAATAATGAGATATGTGGATCTTAGAAATTCATCAGGCAGGTCATGCATAACATGAATATTTGGTAACTGGGACTCAAATTTTCCACACAGGGTTGTTAAAGAAGGGGTGGTATCATTGATATGTAAATTATCTGCTCTTTTGCTTTCACAAGCATGAAGCCAAACATCTATCACTCAAAACATTATATGTGTTAAGTTGACCAAAAAACTTAAGTTATGATAAATGTTTCATTATACCTTACCAATCTTAAGAAACTAAAGGAAACCAGTTGTAAAGGCAAGATATCATTCAGTCCATATCGAGAATTTCCCCCTAACAATTACCATGAATCCTTTACCTTTTACAAGTTACAAAAAAAGACAACTTGAAAATTTTCCAAAAATATCTAGACTCAGCCTCCACCCGACAACACATTTATCTGGATGAGAAAAGAATACACATTCCTCTTTCTCTCACAAAAACATTGTATAAAGCAAAAGGGGAAAGGGGACTTTCTAATAAGCTTTGAACAACTTTACATACACAAGGATGTACATGCATTTAATATCTAAAGCTTGATCAAAATCTTCACTAGATAGGGCATGCTTAAAGCCAAGTAACAATCTCTTATGCAAGGGGGGGGGGGGGTTAATTAACAAAAAAAAAAAAAACATTTTTTGGCAGAATTTTTATTTTGAACTAAAGCTTTTAAGCCTAATTTATAAGCAACTAAGTCATAATACTACTTTCAAAAGTATCAATCACAATGAATCTAAATCCATATTCATATGCAATAACGATTTGTGCAAAAAAGCTTTTAATAGGAGGAAGTTATCAATAAATTTTGCAACAGTAATAACCCCATTCAATTTACCACCGTGACAGTTAAATCACCAAATATTACAAATGCACACCACAGAAGGTAAGGACCTATCCATCTAAATTATTACCTTGATCAGCCAAATAATTAGTATATATAAACAACAGAATAAAATATTGATTTAATGATACAGATAACTTCCTCCCACATTCACTTGTGGTCAAACTGCCAATGCACAACCCAATATCATTGTAATGATAACCACACTAAGGCACAAAAGGGGTAAAAGCTAAGTGAAAAGGAAAAGTAACAACAAATTGTCTCACTTGTGGCAGGTCACTCCTGGGTACCTTCAAAGTATAAATACTTAAAATCTAAGTAATCTGCATTATTATCATCATTATCATCAGTAAGACTAATGTATATATAGTCAAATGCATATATATAAGACCTTAAACATTAGGTTGGACACTATCTAGATCAATTTCAGGATTAAAGTGTTTGCAGTATTACAGTATGTGTACAATAAACTTTTCTGGAGTAAAATAAATTGCACTGTTACTTTTTTTTTTCTTAATCAGAAGACAATGTTTCCTCATGCATACTGTGAGTGACCTGCGCACAAGACTGACGGACATCAACAACATAAATGTGAATCAATTGTTAACAGAATATGAATGCTAGTAATTGAGCAGCACAGGCATGAAAAGATTGGTAAGTGATGCAAGTAGGGCACAATGGAAATCACGAATATCTTTTCTTTTTGTGCCCTTTTAAACATTAAATATGATTGAATCATAAAATTGTTGATCATTTAAACAAGAAATTTGAAAAATTGTTATATTAAACCCAATAAACATTTCAAGTGGTAATTTATATCTGAAGTGTATGTTAAACGACTTCATGTTTCAGAAGATAAAATGAAAATTGTCAAAAACGTTTTAGAGTAATTCAAGAAAAAAATGCACAAGCAAATTCACACAGTTCTTACTTGTTCCAGTGTGTTTTGGAGTTCTTATACAGTGCAGGAAACATAACAGGTAGTATGACACTGGCATTGTCACTGACCAAGCTCATGATGTATTCATTATTCCAGAAATACAAAGCTCTCTCCGCCACCTAAAGACAACAAGCAAGTGCACTAAGGAAGCTAATGGTAACCATGTGGCCTTGGTCAGAAGGGTGCTATGGTTGCTACAACCATGGGGGAAAAGGTGTGGTCATAGCAAAACAGCTGGCTGTTACGAGGGGGATTCAAATAATGAAATCAAGGCACATTTAGGGGAAAAAAATGCTGCACAAGTGATTCATGCAAAATGAGTCACATTCACATAGACATCATCCAAGCACATTTAGTATCTTCATGGGACTAGATGCACTTGCAGGATATCTATCAAGCATGCGAAGGTGTGGCCTTGCCTCAGCTATACATAAACATGTGACTTGGGAACAAAACAATAGGGGGCGCTAGTTCAGTGTCAAGACAGGCAGGACTAATGTTCAGTTAAAGCACAGTCTCCTCACCTCAACTTCCCATCTAAAAACACTGGAATATAAAACACAACTGGGCATGCGAGGAGGTGGTTTTCCTACAGTGCCCTTTCAGAAATATTAAGTACTTTCTGCCCAACCAAAGGAAGTTTTCTTGGAGGGAAACTTGAGGTACTAATCTTACTTGTTCCAGTGATTTTTAGTCTGATGCAAGGCCGGTAGAATTACGGGCAGGATTACAGCAGCATTTTCACGAGCTAAATCAAGCAGGTAGTCATTACTCCAGTAGTACAGGCTGCGTTCTGCCACCTAGAAAGTTGCCCAAGGCCAGAGAGAAAGTAATATGATGAAAAAAAAAATCAAGTGTCAAAGTTGTGGTGATAAGGGGGGGAAGGGGAAAGGGTGTTACACCTGAAACACAATGCAAGCTGATCATGTTGTTTATTAACACAATCTAGCACTGCTGTTAACAGATCTTTCATGTTTCTTAAAAGATGACCATTCGGTTAGTCCAGCTGTAAACACTGGTCAACTCACAATGTAAAACACAGTTAATCTGCTTACGTACGAGTATTCAAGAAAAGTGGTTAGTTTTAATTTGCTGAAGTGGGTGCCATCTTTTAATAAACATAAGCTAGAAATGTGAACAGAAAACACAAAACAAGAAGCCGAAGCATTAGGTACAACATGTATGGGCCAGCTGTTGAAGCAGCAGGTAGTGTTGTAATCTCTTACTTGTTCCAATGCTGTTTTGTCCTGTACAGAGCAGGAAACATGATGGGCAGAATTGTCTGGACATTGTCACTGATTAAGCTCAAGATGTACTCATTATTCCAGTAATACAATGCCCTTTCTGCAACCTATGAAAAAAGTTGCACAAAATATCAAACAATGTCTATGCTTAAATAGTTTGTTGCCCATTTCACAAGAAGTCCACATATTTAGGACACAGCTTAGACTGCTGAGAGCTGACCATGCATTTAAATCTTGTCTATATGTAAAATTCCATGTAAAGACCATGTGCTCTTAAGGATTGCCTTTCAGATGCAATTTGGCTGAAATACTAAGCAATTTTTGTAAAATAGGCCACTTGATTTTCTAGACAAACAAATGTACACAAAACTGACCTGAAATCAATAGTAAAAAGTCTGCATGCACCTCTAGCTTCAGAGGCTTCATATCATTTTTTGCCACATAGTAGTCATTATAACAAGAATATTGTTAATTTGTACTGATATTTAACAAGAACATGCAAATATCAGTATACTTGAACAAAAGCAACGCCATTCTACCCCATCCTCAATCAGTTGTCTCTCCCAAATATTATGATTATTATTATTTTTTTTTTCAATTTTTCATGCTGCAAGGAAAAACTACATAAAGGGAATTCAGTATAAATAAAATAAAAAAGAATACATAATAAAAATGGCAAACTCAGGTTGACAGGAGGACAAATAAGGTCACAAATTCAAATGATAACAATAAACATTCCATGGAATGACTACAAAAAAGAAAGAGCATTGCCCAAAGTGTTCTGAATAAAAGTGAAATCATAAGTATATGAATAAAGATGACAAAATACAGGAAATTTTTAAATTATAGTTGTTTGTTTTTAGACACACTGATGTTTTAAGTTTTAACAAATTAACACTGCAATTTAAGTTCCTCTTTATAATTTCTTTCTAATTTTGCCCATTAAAAATTAATTGTTTACTGAAAATTTTAACATGCTGCCCAGCCATAAAATAGGCCATCTTCTGTTTTGAACAAGCTGTCCAACTTATGGCTGGACTACTCACTCAGTGGCTTAACCCTCAATTCTAAGTCAGCTTTTACTCAAATAGGGATTCTTTCATTACACTTCTCAACCAAGTTGAAAAATCTACATAAAACAAGTAAATGTAACAAAATTATGGCTGGGAGAAAGAAAAAATAAAAGAAACAAAAAAAGCTGAAGGGAGCAAACCATTCCACTTCTACTTATTGTGAATATTGAAAATTATAACACCAAAATAAAAAAAGAATAAATCAAAAATAATAAATCAAATTAGTTATGCATACCTGAAAATGAGGGCTGGAGACACATTTCGCCAGCCTTTTGAAGAGGGGCACCATAATCTTGGTGAATTCCGCTGGCTCTATCACATCCAAGATCTCTTCTAGCTCATTGAGAAACATCACCTGAAAAACAGAGACATTGCCACCATCTCTGTCTTAGATGAAAACACTCCATATCATACTCAATGTTCTTAGTTATCCTAAGACTTTTTGATTCAAAAAGGTATAACTTTCAGTAATTTTTCTGCATTAAACATGGCATAATATAAATATAAATATAAATATATATATAATACCATGTTAACTAGAAAAAAAATTTTCAACTGGACCACTGGCCCCTTTCAGGAAGGAAATGTTTTGTTTCAAAACTGAAAAAAAACTAATATTTTTAGACTGCTTTAAATCATTAAGTGTATGACACCAATAACATGACAGAGCTTTTCCATTAATTTTCTGTTGCTTCTGGATGCAATGGCATCACAACAGAGCAGAGCAGCCTTCGGATTTTTTAATATAAACAACACTGGATTGTTTTATAATCATTTCTTTGAAACAACTTCCTTATTTCTCTTAACTTCTGTTTTGCGCAGTTGGGATTAAGAAATAGCTCACCTCTTTTGGACTGTGTACTTTAGGCCAAAATTTTAATAATCCCATTATCACCTGCAAGAACAAATAAGATTATTTCAGACCAAAGTTAAGTTTACACAAGCAAAAAAACTCAACAGAAAGCAAGATTTGGTTTGTATAACAGGAAGTACATAGAGTTTAAATGTAGAAATCACTGTGAGTACACAGTGGTTAAAGAGAGAAACGTGTTATCTTGGTTCAAAATCTCACGTCATGACTAAAACAAGGATAGGGAAAGACAGCAAAATGTAGATTGTGTATTTACATCTTGTGATTACTGTCATAACCTTTTAATGTTCATCTGCTCTTAGTATAATGACTAGAATTATATTTACCTAAGGAATACAGACAAATGTACCAGACTTGATTAAACTTTTGAAAACATGAGAATAAAATATTAACAACCTTGGCAACACATGTATCTCAGTGCAAAATGAAACATTCTAAGAATAAGCTCTGAATATTACTGCAAATAAAGCTTTCATTTGTACAATAAACAAATTACATTATATCAGTACACAGGGAGTAAATGGACATTCAAAATTATGACCACGAGATTAAAACACGGCAAAAAAAAATCAATATCTCTGTATACTAAATGAAAGGCATGGTATGGTTGTATGTTTGTAAACATTATGGGGCACACAGGAGAGGAGGTTTACTTACAGGCTCTGTTAAGCTTGGATCCTTCTCCAAGAACTGCACCACACAGTAGGCCAGTTGAGGGTGATAGACACTGAGAGACTTCACTTTGTGGAGAGGAAGTAACACCTTTAACAAGAACACTTTGTGCTCCTCTTTCAATGGCAAAGCAAAACCATTTATAATGCTGAAAGATGGAAGTAAACAGACTGAAATATGCACACCAACTAAAAGTAAATTTTAGATTTAAAAAATACATGCACAAAACACACACCAGAACTAGAGATTCAAAGACAACAGTGACTCTTCAGCAATAGAACCAGTCCCATTAAGAAAACCAAAATTAAAAGTAATAATTACCTACTAAAATATCAGTTTTCATTCATTCATTACAATTTTTTTCATGAAACATTGTTTACAGATATTATGTTGTAAGCCAAGAAATGTCCAAAAGGGTCATTATAAAATGTCTTACAATAAATTTTTTTTCTCTGTAATGCTGAACATCTGTGAATCAAAGGCATATTTATTATGAATTCGCTTTCCAGGATTGTTTCAGAACGTGACAGTTAATATCTCAGACATAAAACCATTTAAATTTTCTTTGTTGAACAAATTGTCAACATTAATGTCCCACCTTGTGCAAATTGCCTAAAAATGAAACTATTAGAGTACCGTGACTAATCTTGTTTTTTAAAAATTTTGTTGTTTCTACTTATTTATAAAGAAGGACACATACCTCCCAAGGATTTCTAATAGTTCAGCTATTCCATTGTGACGTTCTGTTTCATAAATAAACCTGAAAATAAGTTTCATTATTTATTTGTCATAAGAATAAACTTAGATTGATAGGTTTTAAGCCAGCTAACATTTATGCAACATGTGCATATTACTGTCAATTACACATTACTATCCATTACGATGTAAAACTGATATTGGCTTTATCAAATATTATAATTATATAATTCTTACCTATAAAATATATTATTTATCTGTTTCCTGATATATGCTCTTAGACCCAGGAATTTTCCGTATATTCTATGAAGTATTGTTTTCAAAAAGTCTCTTTCTCTTGGGTCTTCACTGTCAAACAAATCAAGTAGCTGAAACACATAAAAATTGTCTTCAATCTCCAAGCAAGAAATAAATGCAGGTTTCACTGAACCCAATATCCTGGCTTTTTGCGGACTACTTAATGGCTTCTTTAGCCACGGAATTCTGTTCTGCTATAGATTAGATAGAGATGTTTAGACAGTTCATTGTTCTCAGTGTAAATATTGTATGAATATTCAAATGGTTTGAATAATAAACCAGTGAAAATTCTTAGATATCAAATTCAATATTTTCAGTACGCATTTCTGTTACTTTTCAAAGTAAAAAAAAAAGTGTAGTCTTTATAATACAAAATTCTTTTACATCCAGTAAAAAAAAAACAGCCATTTAAGCACCATTCAACTGTGTTAAACATGAAATATTATAGTACGCAGTAACTGTAAGACCAAATGCAAATATTACAATAGTTTCACTTACATGGTATGATAATATGGTATTGTATATTTGTACATACCTGCAGAACAAACTTTTGATCTATGTATCTTTTTGCGGTGTTGGGTTGAAAGTCTGGGGACTCAAGAAAACGTAAGAAAAACTCGTAGACCAGCTGGAAAGAATAACAAAAGTATTCATAAAACATTCCATAGCCAACTCAAACATATCACAACAGGACTTTTAATATATGTTAAACAAAAACTGACTGCCAAGCAAATGGTTAAAAGTTCATACATTACATTTTAGGATCTGAATTTTAGGATCTGAATTGAGTCTTTTTTTAGGTAAAACTCAAAAAGCATACAAGACAAAGAGTCTGTTAACTACTTAACATGACAATTTTTTTGACACTGAAATGTGGTTTGTAGATGATAAAATAAGCCCGTCAATTAGTAACCATAACTATTCATGTTATTCATAACTAATGTATTCAGGAAGTAGTGATCTTCTGGGGTTAATGGAGGATTAGGTTATTTATTCAGACCACCAAACATTACCAATCGTAACAGGGGTATAAAAACATCCCATTTAAACTAATTTATAATGACAAACCATTTCAATGAATCACAATTAACAAGGCATGTGATTGAAAAACAAGACAAGTATGCCATCTTCATATCTATGTTTTTGAAGCATCGATGTTAAAAAAAGGATAACAAAAATCTATAAAAGAGAGCTTTTTGTGTCAACTTAACAAAAACTGCTTTAATTCTAAATTCAGAAAGTAAAACTACCCCTAAGTAAACTTGCGTAAAGCACCCAGCACAATAAGTACATGGTTTATGGACTGAAGGAAAACACAAGCTAACAAGTTATATCAATGATATAGTCTGATAACAATCGTTTTGTTAAGAACATCCCTCATGCTCTACTGAATGCCCTTGAGGGCCACGTGGAAGATAAATTTTAGATTTACTATGCTTTTAGCCTCCATCAATAAAGTTTGATAAATAAAATAAGTAATTTAATAAAAGCACCTGTAGATGTGGCCAAGCTGCCTCCAGGGTGGGTTCATCTTCTTCTGGATCAAACTCCGCACCCGTGGGATTTGAGGATGGGGGTAATGTCCGGAATAAGTTTGATGAAAACTAGAAAGCAGAGAATCATTATTGTCATGTTACCAAATCAATAATATTTCAATGACCAAACATATCATGTTATCAAATTAAATATGTCAGTAATAATTAGTCATGTTGCAGTGTTTTTTGTTATGTTTTAAAATCATCTACTTTTTGGTAAAGTGAAGAATATAATGGTTAATAGTAAAAGGACACCCTTCAAGAATAATTTGGATCATTCTGAAATGATATGATAGAACAAAAAAAGTGCAAAGAATATATTGTGTTATCAAACTATGATCATTTCATTTATTAAAATATCACCAAATTTTGTCAAATGGAGGCATAAATGAAACTGATAAAACAGCTCTCTGGGATAAATTCTGCTCTGAAGTCAATTTTAGTATATTATAATATATTGACATTTCTACAATAAATGATATTTGAAAACAAAATGACCTCTGCATAAGCTGACATTTAACCACTGCTCAAAAAATCAATACCCTTTTAATCTTAGATTAATAATGATTTCATATAAAATGTGCAATGCACAAAAATGGAAATGGTTATTTGTATAGTCTGGTTATGATCTTGTTTAGAAACCAACTTTTAAATAACAACAAACTGACAATAAATAAATAAATAAAATAAAATGATAATTAAAAAAATGCTTGAGATAAAGCAATGGTTTAGCAATCAAAGGAGTAAAATTTCCAGAGATGTTATTGCTTTAAAACCTACAATTAATTATAAATAATGTGAGGTAATGAATTCACTTTATTGCCATTAACTGCTGAATCAGCCAATATATTTTAACAAGATGGCTGCTACCAATCACGATCTGGTGATATAACTAGCATGTTAATGACAAGTTCAATCAAATCTCCATGGCAATCGCATAGTTGAAAATGTCAGAAATTTAATATGGCACTGAAATTGCCTGCCAGACTTTCACATTTGCTTCATGACCAACTTGTTTCCCTTCATATGCAAGACCTCACATGAATATGAGAAAATAATAATAATAATAATAAATAATAAAAATAAAGCAGTGGTGATATATTTGCATGTTTCAATTACTTTAATCAATCAACAGCTGATTTATATTTTCAATGTAAACAGACTCAATCACTCTGAAAGGGAGTTCTAGCCCTTGCTGAACATAAAATAATCTGTATAGAACTGAATTCATATTCAATTTCAAAAAATGAATATTCTCAGGGTCTGGTCAAATAATTTATGATTAGTCTTTGCACTGCGGATGAAACTATTGATTTTTTAGATTGCAATATTCTTCACTTACCATTTGTATACACTCTGGATAAATGGCATCTGTTATAACACCCCGATTCTGTTGCACATATTCCACCATCTCGTTCAAGGCTGCTCTTTTCACTTCCTTCCATTTTAAATCACTCAGAGGGTCCTGGACGAAATCGAACATCACACAACACTGCCTGATCTTCTGCACAAACAGGTCCTCGCGCTCTGCTGGCGTGGCATCTGTAAGTTTAGGGAAATGGTGAAAATTTTGTAAATCCTTGGGTCTTTCTACAACCGGCCTGATCCCCTTCGGCTGGCCACTGTACTGTTGGTGAAGCATGGCCAAATCTCTGGTGACCCGAACCTTATATATTACCAGCCATTCTCAGATTGCAGTGCTGTTTGTGAAATAAAACAAGAATACTACAGGTTAATTGGTGTCTTCTTAGAGAGCTACATTCATTTTCCACCATTCTGTTATGGAGTCCTTTTTCTCTCCTTGCTCTTGCATTTCCAAGAAATATGCTAGTCTTGACAAAAAGAATTGGTTTTCACTCCTATCAAAAAAGAAACTCTAGCTCCTGTCATGCAACATACAAAAATCTAGGTCTAGTCTCTAGAGGCTGCTCTAATCTGCTGCAAACCAAGAGCCTTTGTTGGCTTAAGACTGATGAGCAATAGAACTAACACTACAGTAAAACATTGATCCATATACAAGTACAGAACACACACACACGATGGTGAGTAGCAACAGTGCAACTAGGTAATGGCAGTTGTTCTAAATGAATAAATCAATGTGGAGAGCAATATTGGTTTTCTTCACCATAACTTTATATGAAATCTATGGATCAAGATGACTTGAGGCATGGGCTAGGACCCAGTCTGTCTATAGAAGGGGAAGGGTAAACATATAATCTAATACAGAGCTACATTTTGCATGAGCACGGACCAGAATCAATATCCGATTCCTGACAACTTGCAACGGGCAAAACAATGGTATCACTTTATGGCATCTAAGGCCATTATGCAAATGCCACTTTATTCAATCAGCCTCCATAATCTATTTGTATTTAACATCAATAAACTGAAATTCCACGCAAAAGCATGCAAGGTAAAACACCCGAGTAGTCGTTTAAAGATTTTATTCATATCACTGCTGATCCTAACACTTAACTGAGGCTACTGAATGGCAAAATCCAATGCAATTTTTTAAAATTACTACTAGATTTAACTTCTTTCTGGATTGTTTATGGTGTACTAGTTATAAATACCAATTTGCCTTTTTCTATGCCAAACATTCTTACAAAACAAATGCAGGAACATTGTAACTTGCTATAAGATGAAAAGATACATGTGAAGACAAGATAGCAGAGACCTGCTGCATTACTCCGTGGCAAAAATATCAAGATAGATGTTAAATATAATAAATCAATAACCCCTGGATATTTAATTTCAGGCTGGAATCTGAGAATATACTTTACGGGTGTTAATATTTCCTCAACTAAAAGTCTTAATCAATCATCATCATGAACTGACTGTGCCAAAGAGATTCCCACTGTATTATAGAGGTTTTCTTTTCAGGCCTTAGAAAGGCTGAAGTCCGCAGAATATAATGTTTAGAACTGTTAAGAACTGCAAGGCTTGCCTGCCTTCAGGATGTGGGCGCAATAGAACTTATTTCTCCTTGAACTTCATTTCACAAAGATCACATTTAAATATATTACAACTGGAAAGCTTGCATTGCCATGCCAACATCACAATGAAATCTCACTGGATCAATAATGTGATGTAAACGGGTGGAAGCTCTTTATGTATGCCTATTTGAATGGAGCTGAAGCTGGAGGGAGGTCTTGGCCTGTGAAAAAATGAGGAGTGGGACTTTTAAGAAAATGTCTTCACATCATTTTTAATTTTGACATCTTTTTTCCCTTTAAACTTTAACTTTTGGTCCAGAAATAAGAAAAAATCTAAGCTATGCAAACAAGTGAACTGTGATGTATTTGTTCCCATCCTATAAATAAATTTCTTTGTGCTTCAACAGCAGTTCTAGCTGACCTGGATTAAAACTTGTGACTATCAATAAATAATGCCAGAAGGGCTAAATAATTCTTGGCACAGATGTCCTCAAGAATGCGTCCTTTCAAAACATTTTGAACAGAGCGTATGCCGAATATTGATTTCAGTACTCTGCATTATTTATGCAAGCATATGTACTCCTATGTTCCCATGCTGTACAAAAGTGTCATTTCATGACCTTGTCCTAATTATTAGTCTTCAACAGTGAGCACAACTGTTTAACATAAATATTGCCTGATCAACCCAAATTTCTGAAGCTTGGGAATATGGGTGTTTATTAATACCATAAGATTCTTTTATAAATCTAAACATTCTCAACTTGCCACTTCAGCTTTTTTAAAATTTCACCACACAGATAAAACTGTTTTATATCTAAATTATGGCTGGGCTAAAATATGTCAGCAATTTGGGTAAAACAAAATTTATGCAAGAGTGAGATCAATTCTCTAAAGAAATCATAAAATCAATTTCTTGTAGTCTGTAAGGAGTGTAGATTGTCACAAAGATATGAGGATTAGATAAAATCTCTTGCACTGTATATGATAATAATAATATAAACTTCTACTATACGCAGGGGCTGCTTATGACAGTTTATTTCTGATAATAATAGTTATAACTTCTGAATATTCACCCTACGGCCATTTATCCCGATAAATAGTAAATCAGGTCATGATTTTTCAGAAGGTAGTTTGAATGGGGTATTAGTTGTACTGCACAGTCAACTGCACCCAAGAAACTTAAACGAATCAAATAAATTATTAGGAGATGTATCAGTCATCACATTAAAAGATACATTTTTCTTGTTGCTGGGGCTGTGTTGTAAAGATTTCTATGCGGGCAAGGCACAGCGGATTGATTTGTCAGATGACTACAGGTGTGCTTTCGATCTCCTCTTGATCCCCTTCTCTCGTACATTACCTACAAGCATCATTCACTGCGATCTGGAATCAATGTACCCACACTGGAGAAATAGTGATAGGTTTGTTGTTGCAGTTGTGGTTGGTGTGATTTCACACAGGGACCTTGACCTTCACAACTGCCTAAAATCCTTTGTTATTATGATGGGGCAAACAGTATCATAGCCCTTACCCTTTAGTCTGTTCTCCTAGGTAATACTACGCAGTCAACACTGCCTGAAAAGGGAGCGTGCTCATGTGGCCTTCGTTCAAACCTCCAGCTTATCAACTTTAAAAAACTATAAATCAATCCAGAGCAATAAAAGAATAAATATGTTCACCAAAAGAGCAAAATGATGTGGTTGTGACTGTTTTCTTCATAGGGCCCACTGGTAATAAGACTGATTTCAGCATATAGTATGATTGTTACAGAACAAATGTGTATTTAGTTTGTCTTCACATTCCAGATTTGAATTTCATTAAATGGAAGGTGAAAAACATTCCAGATTTCAATTTCATTAAATGGAAGGTGAAAAACAATTAGTGTATGCACTAAAAATGCCATAGTCACCTGAATCTCAGCTAATTATAGGTCAAAAATCAATACTTGCCTCTTGCTCTTAATTAACCTTTTCACTGCTCAAAAAGGGCAGCAATTTTCACTTTTTGACAAAAACAGAAAAAAAAATTAGGTACTAGTAACTGCTAGATCACTTAGCTCCATTAATTCAAGATTTCCATCACATTTCATTTGTCTAATACAAAATGTATAGTGCTGTAATAATAATAATAATAATAATAATAATAATAATAATAATAATAATAATAATGCTGAGAACACAAACCAAAACATAATGAAAGGGATAACAACTGTTCATATAGCACATAATTACCAGAAAAAAAAAAACATGGACTAACTTTGAATGTCGGAATCTATTCATTAACCATTAGTAAGTATGGGAAAATTGTCATTTACCCCAGGAAAACCTTTTTTTCTCCAAAAAAAAAGTTTTTTTTTTAAATATACAGGCTATTCTTCTTGGCATGTCATGAGGTTGCTTAAATTTTTACATAGGTTTTGTGTCTACTTAATGTCTGCGGAGCAAGTATAAATCAAGCTTAATAATTTCAATACTCATCAAGACAAATCAAGTCCTCTATATACATATAGAACCTAATGGTTTTGTCCACATATCATTTCACTGGGTGAAATGCATATTTCCGGTAGCTGATGAAAATGATTACCTGCATACTATTGCACCAGAATCTCATCTATTTTGATGAAAATGATAAATCTGACAGGTAGATATTGTTACTGCATATGTCAATAAGTGCTCTCTTAACTAGCTGTACTTACAAACAAGTTGGGAGTTATGTACATATATCATTTAGAACAGTGTAACACTGTATTTTCTTGAAAATGTTCTAAGCATGATAAACAGCGTACTGAGAGTACATGGGATTTACGAAGCAAAACATGTTTTCATTTATTAAAAAAAAAAATTCACTGAGATGACGGAAAATCTTGCTGGTTATGAAAAAGATATTTCAAAATGCCTTTTGCTTTATTCCGATCAGTCAATAACTGAAATTAATATTTCAATTTTCTATATTATTTGGAGTCAAACACATTCAAAACTCACACATGATTCATTCTTTTATAAAAAAATATATTCTTCAAATATAATAGATTTCAAATAAAGTATATTGAAAAAAAATTATTGATCTCGTTTCAACAGTGGTATAAAAGTAATAAACTTATTTTAAAAAGATCCTTTGAAATTCACCTGAAGGTCATTTGCATAAGGTTAGATGTAAAACACCTTGCCATCTGTTTAGAAGTTTTGAGGTAAATTTAGTTTGACAAGAATGACCTTTCAAAGTCAATTTTACCAGATCCCTTTTTTACACAACACATTCACTAGACTGGAATATACAAATGCATATTAAAAACCAAACTACATGAACCTCACACTAACTTCAGTAATGGCTTTTTATATGACTTTCAAAATGGAACAGCTTCTAAGTCGACAGCTATTACAATATATGGGTACCTTATCTATGATCATTTTTTATATATGTCAACTTGCACATAAAATCTTACTGAAAGCCACCAATGCTTGATGGTAGGATAACATTTAAAAGGGTCATCTGTCATTCAAGATAAGTCTTAAAAAATGCAAGAGTTTTGTGTCATGGGCGTAAAAAAATACTATTTACAAATGACAACCAGATCTCAGGTAACAGATGAATGGTGGCAAGTACCTCAACAGCAGCAGAGGATAGTGAAGTTCATTATAAATATCCTGATTTAGGAGAGAAAGCGGATGCATAAAGCAAAACATTGGCTGCGATTTGTTTAGTCTTAGCAAGTTCCGCAGGTACACAGATTTCATCTTCTGCACCAGCCCAACCTGATACGGTTGTTACACCAAGTAGGTTACCTGGCAAACTAGAGATAAGGATTCTAAAGACTCAACTTGTACATGCATCGTGACGATGGTCATCTAAGCAAGGTCATGTATTCCCAAACAAGATGTCGACTTGGACATTGTACTTACTATAAGCTTGGTTCTTTTAAAGCATATTTGCCAAGAGCATGCAGTAAGGCTTATTTTTGAACGTCTAAATTTAAATGAAAACAACAAGAAGACTGGTAACATAAATATAAGGAAACATATCAAGTGACTTTCAGGTATAACTTTGACTTTCACCTTTTTACTACACAACATAAAAATATGTCATAAAGTCCCAACTGCAACAATACCCAGATGTGCTTAGGAAGTGTAGACATTAAGTACAAAAGAGCAAAAAGGAGTTTAAAGTATGACATGAGATTTTAACATAAACAAAGACCTTCATAGTGACAATACCGATTGTTTACATATAGAAGGCACCAGCTTCACAAATAACAATGCCACCTCTCTTTCTGCTCGCAACAATGAGATGAAAAGTTCATTTTACTTCTTTTTTTATAAAGATAGTTGCCTTACAATGTAAAAATGATATCTCTAAATGTTATTTTGTTCAAAACAATGAATTTTAAGGAAAATACATGTCTTTAGAGGATAAATGGTACCATAAGAAAGATCATCTGAAGTAGATGCATTGTTCTAACACTGGTAGAGTTACCCTTGTACCTCCCAGTCCCACCCCAAAGGTGTTCAGTTCTATACAGGATTCCCCCACCAAAATGAATTTTCTTCGGGAGAAAAGTGCAATTTTTTCCTACTCAGGAATAATTGCTTGACACATCCTTGCACTTGGATTCGATGCTTTAAATCTTTTTGATTTAATGATGTAGCTCTAAATGACAAGCCAGTCATTTAGAATGTCAAGTCTTCCAGTACATTTCATCTATGAATTACACCAGGTACCTTGTTTTATTTGACGGGCTTAATGGTTATAAAAAATCTGCATTGGGAAAGACTGATGGTAGGATATGCAGACATATAAAAACATGAAGAGTAAATTTTCAAATATGAATACTAGTAGTATACTTCCCGATTAATATACAAACATAATATATCTCTGGCACAGTTATATTCGTCTTCCAAGATTTTTTCTGAAGGAAACTAAGTTTCATTTCTGAAAAGCCTTTACCTACACGCTTTTTTATCGGGAAAGCAAACTTATTTACTCAAATTATCATTTTCCATTTTTTTCTTCTTCTATTTTACATACACTAGTATCTTATAAAACAGCAAAGAGCCATTTGCTTAGTGCAGAACACCTGGAATTCATGCTTTTTAAAATCAATGTCTACTCATTATTCATCTTCAACCAATAAAACGTGTTTCAACATCATTATTAAGGTGAATATAAGACAAAAATAATAACGAACCTATTACTGCCATAATTTGCATTGTACAGCAGTGTGCATTGTACATCATGAAATTGGAATCATTTGCCACACTAAGGCAGAAGTAAATATTCTGAAAATCTTTCCAAGAGGAATCCAAATATTTAGATATTCTTCCTCTAGCTAGTACTTACTCAGTCTAAAAAGGTAAGCTCAAATACGTCTTATCCATCCTTGAAAGTATGCCCCAGCAAATGAAATATGCCATCTTATGACTAAAAACGTTTCAGAGCTGTGATACACTAAGACCCTATTCCCAGAGATTAGGATGATCCAACCTAGATCGACCTAACTCCCTGGGGGTTCACGCTAAATAGCTGTCAGCCGAGCGGGCACGAAAGTTAATTACCCCCTTGCAGCTTGTAGTAGGCGGGACGGACAATTAAGCCAGATTATTTGACAGTTATCTAGTGAGACTCCCCACGGGGATAGATCGGTCGAAAATCTATGGGAATACACCCTAGATGACAGTTAACAATAAAACATTCAACCAAAAATATATTTTTAAAAGGACCAACTCTCTATGGTCTTCAGGTTATACTTTCTAATCACTATGGCAACCTTAAAAACTCCATGTTCCCAAACATCATACGGGTGTTAATGCAACAATAATGTGCCTTAAAAGACAGCTGCTACAGCTGTAAATTGTATGTTAAAGATACAATTATCTTAAAGAGTGTAGCCTAGCGAAAAAGAAACTAAGGTGTGAATCATCAAAAAAGCAGGCTGGGTGTTGGCCCTAAATTGCATGGGAGATACAACTAAATGTAATCTATTTGCAATCAATCAAAGTTGTCTGACCATATGTAACACTAAATCATATTCCTTCACAGCAAAGAAAAGGAATCATTTTTGCACGATGTAGCACACGTGATAAATTGGAGCCTAATGTCGTTGTTATACAAGGCTTAATTGACTCAGTCAGATAATATATAAATGAAAACACATTACCTTTCAACATGGGTAATTTCTGTAGTTCTCGGTTCTTGCTGATATTAAAACGGGAAGAAGACTGTCTTTTGTCCTTTTTAACGTGAGGTGGTCCAGTAAACTTCAGTTTTGTGAGTGGAGCTGGGGGTGGATGTTGATGTGTGGCTTCAGCACTGTTAGAAACACTGGCTGCTTTTTTCTTCTAAAAAAGCAACATAATAAATATTGAACATTCAATTTTAAAAGCTTATGCAACCATTATAAGAATAATAAACGAATATAATAAAAAACAAAAATATTTGAAGGACTTAGAATTAATGCCTATGGTCTCATGAAGTGAATCAGTCTACACTCTCAAGAAGAAAAAAAAATGAATTCAATAAAAGATTGCTTCTTGGTGGCATAGTAATATCTGTTTGATTAAGAATCATACTCATAACTCACACGAAGTTGTATTGTGGTATCTATTTTGACTGGCATGGAGACCAAGTATGTCAACTGAATTCATTTCAAAACCCATTTTAGATCTAATATACTTCTGTGGAATATAAACAAACTTTCAAATCAAACAATCCTAAAAATAAAATTTTATATAGCAAGCTCATGGGAAAACAGTTTACCCATAAATGCAATGTCTGATTAAGGCATCCCTACTAATAGGTGGTCAGTTAAAATTTCACTGTTTTCTCATATTAATTCATTTACCTTTATTACGAAGACATCAGAAAAGTTTATAAAGGTAGAGGCCTTAGCATATTTTCTTAGACATTGCTCTCGAGATGAAAACATTATTAAATATGAATGACAATCTCTTGTCTTAAACTGGACTGTCACACTGACAGCATTAGTTTATGACCTCAACATCTCTGATACATGTTTCTGATGTATCTAGAAGAGAGGATTTGTGACAGCCGTACAAAAGATCTCTATCAAATTAATAATCCCAAGGTCAATGACGACAAAAGGATAATTTTGTAATTCAGAAATATCAATAATGTGCTGCGTCTCACTGCACAGATCACATCTATATATAAATTCTTTTTTTTTTAATTTGCTAATCTGTTCATTACCCTAAAGATCAAGCTCATTTTGCAGTTATTGTCATCAACACTGCTGTAACACCCACCAACAATAACATAGCATATTATTTGTTGAACGTCGACTCGAGGACAAGATTTCTGTCATAAAATAGGTGAATGCTCATACCCAACTTCAAAGAATATCGAAATTGGCTTAAGGCTTCACTTGCACAAGCAAGTTTTACATCTACTCCATAAAATTTTTCTTTATTCAATTTTCTCATCACAATAACATGGGAAATGTTGACACACGACAAGTTTCCCCGTTTGCCGCCATATTGGATTGCAAACATGGCTGCCATGATAACAGGAGTAAACGAGAGAAACGAACCTCGTTTTCCGTATTTTCTGCAGCTTCTTTGTTGCCATTCTTTGTCGCATTGGTGGTCTTTGTCGTTACCGGCTGGAAAAAGTGGAAACAAAAATGTCTCTGATCTTTGACCGCGATAAGACAGGAATGTTGTCAATCAGAAACAAACGAAAGCAAATCTGACAAAGTTGCCAAGTGAACAGCTTTACATATTTAGATAAATTATTTATATATAAATGCATTGATATTTCTTCAATACTCTTAGTACCTACCTTATCTTTCTTGGTTTTATTAGGCATCGCTTGCGCCTTGTTTAGAGAGTGATCAACCCCTTTCTACTCTGCTGCTCACCAAAACCTGCACATTCGGATTGGTTGATATAGGTCACATGCCCACCGGCTTCCGGGAAGTCACATGGGTTAATGAAAACAGAGAGATGGAGAGAGGGAGCAAAAGAGAGTGACAGAGATTGAAAATTCCAATCTTTCATCAGTAGTTTTATGAAATAAAACGTATTATCTCACAATTAAAAAGGAAACTATACTTGGCTGCCTGTGTCAATGGCACTGCTGCGATGTTCTTGTGTATTCTTAACAACAGTGTTTTGTTTCGTGGCTTGATTCTGTCAATCACTCAATGATAGCCGCATGCACACTATTGATCTAGCAGTGTGCTGCTATAACTTGGCACCTTGTGCTTAGTACGGCTGGCTGGCTTGGGCAAATTACTCTGCCAAAGACCCCATTTGTTATCTTGTGACCGGAAAATTTTTAGGGGATGGGGGCAAAATTTTGTTCACTTCACTTTCACAATTTTAAGCTACATGTACCAGTTTCTAAAAACATTTTTCCACCCGGTGATGGAGTAATCATAATCACCCACGTTACCTTGAAATAATCAATATTGGTTGTTATGTGGTCTTGTTTTCTCAGAAATTATAAGACAGGCATAAGCATTAGTGGAAGACAGGAGAAAAAAATTATTCTAGCTGAAGAGATAAACAATTCAAATGCCAAGTGCTTTTATTTTCACACAAACAACAATTTCTAGGATTGTGTGTATGTGGAAGGGGGCATGATAAATGGAATCCAAATATAGGATATGAAAATTGAGATACTACAAACTGTAATCAATAACAGTTCTATGTATTAAAAAAAAAAATCCTCATTAAACTTAAAGGGATAATAACTCTTTGTATGAGATCTATATTTCACAATAAAAACCATGTGAATAACTCATAGAAATATAATATATTCTGTTTTACCACAAAAACATCAGTTATAGCTTTTATTCTGATATCTGAACTTGTCTTTAGACCACGTGACCTCCATTGATGTCTATACTCTGTTAAAATCTCTTAAGAGATTTTAACAAAAAACCAAACTTTTTAGAAAAAAACCAGGGACTAACTTTGAATGTAAAAATGGATTCATTAACAATTGGTAAGTATGGGAAAATTGTTGTTTACTCCAGGAAAATTCATTTTTTGGCCGAAACGAAGAGTTATTATTGCTTTAAAATATTAGTAAGTGTTCCATTGTTAGGGCGGGATTTCGAATTACATGTATGCAGAACTTCTTATTTAAGTATCCATATTTGGAAAAACTTAAAAATTGTAGATACATTTGCAGTTCCAAATTTAAAGGGCAATGGTATCAAATGACTTATGTGAATATACAAGAAGAAAGTGATACACATTTCATTGATTCAAAAAATCATTTATGAAATTATTGTGAACAACTTGGTTTACATTGCATTAACTTGAACAAGGCTACATGTATATTTGTCTCCTGGATGTTATATCCTAGATCTTTAAATTGAATCCTAGATCAGAGATACAGTGTATCATGACTCTGTTACACAATGCAACCCAGGCAAATTGATGCAATATTCCTTTATAAGAAGTATATAAGACATTTCACTTATCGTGTCAGTCAATCTATCATAACACAACATATTGCACATAAAGAGGATGAATCCAATTTTGAACAACCAAGATACACGCTCAATCCACGCTAAATTAGGAAGTATTAAAGATTGTAGTAGGTGCTTCATGTTCCACAGGTGGAGTGATTACTTCTGAATCAGCAAAAGAAAGACATGATGCCACCCATTTCCCCATTTTTATGACATTTCCCCACTTCAAGCAGTTGGATTCAAAACACTGAACAGAATGAGAAATATAATTATGGTACCAATCTCATAGTGGCATAATATCCAAACGTTTTCCGACTACTCTTGATGCTAACTTAAACAGATAGTCACTCGAAGTCTTGATCGGTGACTTATAGTATTGATAAATGAACAAATATAAAATTAAGAATGCATATAACAAACATATTTTAAAGGAGGCATGCTCCAACCATCCTTTGGAGCAATACCCATGTGATACTTAAAGTGTGACCATCTATATGTTGATGTCCTATTTAATCCTTTTCGGTCTATTTTTTATCTTTTTCTATTACCATTCCTCATAATTACCGACCTAACACAGGTGCTGGTCATGGCCTGCTGACAATACTTTTAACTTGTATCCAAATGAATACAAAAACAAGAAGCCGGTTATAGCTATACTGGTCCCCGGAACTCAAAAGCATGGCGCATTGCGACTGACTGAAAACGTCTCAATTCCATAACTCGCCCCATATACATTGTAGCCTCTGTGAGATATCGCTATTCGCAACGTTTTCGAGTTCTAAGATTATAACATAACTGTGGTATGGTGATTTGACTACAGACTGAACCAGCGTCACTAATTAAGATAAACACAAAATCATTCTGTAAAGAAACAATAAATGAGAGCGTGTTATATACAAAAGAGTGCATAGTTATATATAGTTAATATATCATAAGATTAACCAGGGATAAGAAAACCTGTTATACTATGCATCAGCACCTTAAGCTTGTGTCACAGCACCTGTTGATATTTTTATCTCAAACATTAAATGTTTTACCATGACAAATGGGTGTTTATCATTCTCTTCGATAATATGAATGTAATCTTCATATTCTATTACTAACATATAGGAATAAATAGGCATCAAAACAGTATCAATGCATGGAAATACTTACAAGTGTCATTTCAGCAGTAAGCTAAATTTGTAAATTTAGAAAACCAATTTCCTTTATGTACATAAAAAGGTAAATTCTTTTAAAGAAATTTGTTTTGTTGCTTACCCTCAGCAGAGGAAAAATATCTAACTCAATGCTCATTTAAATACTAGTAAGTCCATACTGTAGTTACAAGACTGTATTACGATTAGAGTGAGCTGATTTTTGCAAAACTGGAAAGGAATTGAGCCCACAGTTTTCTGGGATCATAAGTCTTTGCACTTTCCTTAGTTACTGGATTTTATCATCGTAATTTTAACATCTATTATTTTCTTAATTATAATGGGCATAAATTGTCAACAAATTTCTCTGTAAATAATTTACAATTCATCAACATAAATTTTCAGTCTGTCACAAGTTCCCAATAAATATGCTAATAACAAACAGTCTGTACCTCACAAACCAAGATGAAGTCAATGAAAATAAGTACACCTTCATTCTTTTGTCTACTCTTTGAATTGAGGAATGCTAAAATCCAGTGAGGGAGTATTTCAAAACACTGAAGCCAACTGGCCGACTGCAACAAGTTACAAAAACAGTACAACATGCACAAAAAAAAAAAAAAAAAA